AACGCCGAACCGTTCGATCCGAGAGCGATCGCCATGCCTTCAAAGTTTGCCCTTGCCAATCTTGTGGTAGCAATGGACGCTTAGGCTCGATGCAGGTTCAGTAAGTCGACCTTCGAAAAGATGCACCACACAAGTATCGCAACGAGAAGCCCCTTTTCCCCTTCATGGAATTGCACATAGATCGCCTAATCTGCTCTCAATTGGCGAAATGACAAGTCACTGGCATAAAGAATGCATCATACTCGAATTCGCAGTCGGAAAGCCCTGGATTAAGCCAGTCGAGCTGGCTAATGTCGGTGAGACTGCTCAGTGGCCGGTTTGCTGCAGCTATGACCTAGCTGGATAAATAACATCCAGTGCTGGCATTTATTAATGTATTACACAATCATCTACATACAGATCGACAGTCCCATCATTTTGGGTCAACGCTCGACTAACTAGTTATACTCCGTTTGGCCTTTCAGCAACCATAATGAATCAGCTGGAGATTCAACGTGGTAGCAGTGCGCGCTCAAATATCCACGTATCAGACATCAACGCATTGAATCATATGCCTAAAGTATGTTCTCTTGCAGTATCTCCTGCGTCGCCCTAAACAGTTCTGTCTGCGGAAGTCGAGTTTGAAAATCAGAAGCCTGGCTATCTGAGATATGCTTGCAAAAAATCACACTTGTGCGTACATTGATAGTCACAAGGCCAATGGACCGACAGTACTCGGTATTAATCGAATCGAAGCACGAATAAGAGATAGTCAAATTCAGACCGGTGCCATTTATGCAGAAGCACCCAAAACCCTTGCTGCTGATCTGATCTACGCAGGCCAGACAATACCCTCAACCCACCTTACTAGCTCTCGGATGATTATTCTTGAGAGCATCGTACGTACCCAAATAGTCATTGCGTATAGAGAAGTTCTGTATGTATTAGGTACAGCCATGTCCATATTTATTGGTTTGAAAAGAGGAATTATTTTCTCACAAAAGGAAATAAAAGAATGGAGAAAGCCAAGGACGCAAGGACGCATCCCCTGCTGAAGATGATCTATCATACTTGACTCCCCCAAATCCCAACACCGACGGAGAAATAAAGAGCAAGGAATCATAGACAAAAAAGAAAAAGGTCCTATATCCACACCTCCCCCCTTGTCATGATCGGTCGATCTTCTGTCACGTGATATGCACTGCATTCGCATTCTGAAATATTTGATCGGCATATAAAACTCAGCATATCAGACAAAAACACTTCCGTAAGCATATTCTATAGATTTATTTCTATGACAATTGGTGACATCCTACAGTTCCCATCAGCGCTCGCCCTCCAGCATACCAAGGAAGATGGGTGTGACGGTGTGGCAGGCAGGAGAAGGGGTGTGGATCTACCAAGTGCCAAAGGAAAAGCAAAGAAAACGAGTTACCAAAGAAGAGGCCTCGCGGAGAACGCAATAGCGCTGCACAGATGCTCCACTATTCACCGTCGGAATCAATAGTCCAGCTGATGGAGATTTGGGATCGTCCATTTGCATTCTATCTAGTTCTCCCTTTTGCGGTCGAGCGAACTCCGGTCACCTTGAATTCTAAGCTTGGCTTCTGTACGGAGTATTGAAGGGGTGTTAACTTATTGGCGGTTTTATTGAGAGAGCTTTGTGGTTTGGCATAAGTGCTGGAAGGTAAATACATCTCCGAAAAGATATTCTGCGTAAGGACTTTGTCACCAGGGAAGTTTGGTCGTGGTCGTTCCCTAGAATGATCTGAATTGGGCTTCGGTATAAAAAAAGATTACACTGTAGCAGGTATCATAGGCAATTCCTGGTATATACATGACTCTGAAAATCAACCTCCCAGTTACTTCTTCCTCGAGGGACGAGCATTCTTCTCTCGTCTCTTCTGCTTCAGCTTGCGCGCAATCCGGATATCGTCCGTATTCTTCAGCTCGCTCTTGCCACGGGGTGCTGCGCCGCCAGCCTTGGACATTGCTCGCTCCTTGGCGAGTTCAGCCTTCTTCTTCATCTTCTCGTAATCACCGCGGAGAGGATCAGCCCTCTTGGGTGCCTGCTCCTTGCGATGCCTGAACCGCTTGCCTGAGATGGCTGCGTTGAGACCAGCAGTGAGATTAGGAGCCTCGGCCTCACCCACCCGAGGCAAGCGGCCGAGACGATTACCTCTCTTCCAAGCGTCGAACCGTCCGCTCCGGAAGCTGGCTGCGATCTTCGCCCCGCTCTCACCGCGGACGAGGCGCGTGCCCTTGGAGCCGTCCTCGTCATTCTGTCGTGCCACGTACTTCTTGTGTCGCTTGTCCCAGCGCATCAGCGTACGAGCCTCGCCGAACCCGCGGCCTCCATCGTCGCCTGCCAGATCCATGGTCGCGCTGCGTGAGGCCTGGGCGAAGTTGGAGTTGGTACCGGAATGCACACCGTAAGCTCGGTCCTCCACCAGGGAGTTGTTATTCGGGGTATAGGACATGAAGTATTCAGGGTTCTGGAAAGATGCCGCGCTCGCTTTCTTCGCCTTGTTTTCCTTTGATTGTGAATATGACGAGAAGGTGACTTCCAGCTCTGAATCGGATGCCATCGACATGTTATCTGCCACGCCAGTGGGAACGTCGTCGTCCTCATCAGAGAATGCTCCCTCGTTCTCGTTTTCTCCGGCTTCGTTGGCTGCCTTTTCGTCGTCGGAAGCGTCTTCTAGGAACTCGGACTTTTCATTCGCTTGCGCACGCTTCTTCTTGGACTCTAGAGTGGTACGAACTCTCTTGATCGTATCGAGAGCGTCGACGTTCTCATGTTTCCCCATCCGCCGGTTGTTGACCTCGAAAATTGTCTCTGGCGGCCGGTAACCACCAATACGGGCGAGCATCTTCTCCCGCTCGGCCTCTAGATTACTGGTTTCGTCTTGGAAGAGCGGGTGTATGCTTGTCCAATTGTCGGAAGAAACCACCTGTTTCGATCGCTTCGCACTCTCAAGAGATGCCGAGTTCCGGGTTCGCATATAGAGCTTCTCACCTTTAGCAGCGACCGTGCGTTGGGCTGCAAGGTCGGCATTATCGTCCAGGACCTTAGTTACCCACTCACAGCTCTGAGAGAGGCCATCCCTGGGTAGACTGCCCGTGACAACGTCTTCGGCGAAGTTCACTTGATCACCAAATTCGCGGCCAACAACCAGTCTTCTTCCTAGGAATAGTTGCAAATCAAGTAGATAAGGAGCGTCTGCATCGCGGACCAGACTGTAACTCCAGCCCTTGCGCCCTGCACGCGCAGTTCGACCGACACGGTGAATAAAAATCTTTGGCTGGGAGGGGAAATCGTAGTTGATGACATTTGCGAGGATAGGAATATCAATACCTCTAGCCGCAACGTCGGTGACAACGAGAATATTGGTCATGCCCGTTCTAAAGTTTTGAACCTGAATCTTTCGGGCGGTTTGATCTAAAGAACCGTAGACGTAGGACACGGCGAATCCCGCCTCGCTGAGTAGAGAGTAAAGATAATCGACATGGTGTTTCGTCGCGGCGAAAACGATTGTCGAATGCTTGGTTGGAGACTCTCTCATATTGACAGCCTTCTCCATTTCCGCTCTCTTCCTCTTCTTGTTCTTCCAGTTCTTGGCGCTCGCATCCTCTTCTTTCCTTTGTTGCGAAACCTCGGTTGGCCCAGTCGGCATCTTGATGACCTCTTGGAGGATGTAAAGCAAGGCTCCTTCCTTCTCCGAGGATTTCACGGAGAAAAAGGCATTTTGAAGATCGGGCGAGATCTTGCTCTCGGTATCCAGACGGACTAATGTAGGTTCCTGCAAGCCGGCGCGGGCGAACTCGACAAGGGACTTCGGAAGAGTGGCAGAGAACAGGAGAGTCTGCCGATTCGCAGGAAGACCGTGCAAAATCTCTGTTAGTTGCGCGGCGAAACCCATCTCAAACAGTCGATCAGCTTCGTCGAAAACGACATAGCGGATACTGGACAAGTCCAGGTTCATTTCCACCTTCAGATGCAGGAATCGGCCGGGTGTCGCAATAACAATATCTGGATTGCCGGCCATCATCGCGAATTGCTCCTCCAGGCTGTCTCCACCAACAAGAAGTACCGACTTCAGGTCAGTACCTCTGCCCAGCTCCTTGACGACTTTCAATGTCTGCAGTGCCAACTCTCTCGATGGGGACAAGATCAGGCCGCGGGCTCCAACCTTGGTGCTATGACTCTTCAATTTCTCGATCATGGGGATAACGAAAGCGGCCGTCTTTCCTGAACCAGTCCGTGCCATACCAACTACATCCTGGTCGTCCATAATAACCGGAATGGTCTTGCGCTGAATGGGAGTCGGTACCGAGAAGCCTTTCCGAGCGATTGCCTTTAACAGATTGGCACTCAAGCCCATGGCTTGGAAACCACCACCCTTCTTAACAGTACGACCCTTGAGATTCGAGGCCTTGCGGTTGGCAGAGGTCTGCTGCTCGGCAATAAAAGCCTCATCGTCGTCATCGTCCTCATTTACATCGCCGAGGAAGTCGAGCGCCTGCGAGGGAACCTTCTTCGGAGGCTGCCGCTTGGACTTGGCCGAGGGCTGTTCGTTGTCGGAGTCGCTGTCATTCTGGAAGAGGGCGCCTGTGATGTCGAACTCATTTTCCGACATCGCCGGGGATGCCGCGCGGTGAGGCATCTTGAGATTCTGTTGCGCAGCTGGCGCAGGTCGCTCCCAAACAAAATATGGGAAAATAAGTTGTTTTTGAGGTCGCCCGAGGGCGAGAGAAGATATTTTGAAGCTCGGGACAGCTCAGGCTTCGACTTTCATCGAAATTGTAAGACACAAGATCAAACAGAAAACCCTTTCCATCCAATTACACTTTGCAAGGGCGAAATAGAAATCCAAATCGGCTCTCGTCTCCTTCCGACCAGAACGAATCCAGCCGACCAGCCCTGCCGTGATGGTAATCTCACTTTTTTTCGTTTTAGCGGTGGAGAAAAATCCCAAGGCGGTGAGCCGACAAACTCTGTTCTAATTTTACTGCAATCCATGCTTGCTGCAAACAGGACAAACATAGCCCGCCCCGCGACGCGTCCAACACGTCCCGAAGAGGTAAAATGGCAGCCCTCTCAGAGAAATGATGGGAGTGCTTTGCTTCTCATAGTGATAATTGACAGCTTTCCCCTGGCGGGTATTCAGAGCGGATTTCTCGAGAACTACTACAAAATGGGTGAGTAGAGCTTCTGCTTCGCTTTTACATGGTAATTCCTTGTTCGCATGGCCTGACTGACTCCTCTGCCAGACGGGGGTTACAATAATTATGGCAACACCTCATACGGAGGTGGAGGCGGCGGTGGCTTCATGCCTGGAGAAATGAACAGTCCAGCTGGTGGAAAGGTATTTTGCTCTCTGTCCTGCGTTGGCATTTCCCGAGTTAAAGCCTCAATGAGCCATGCCTCCCAGTTTGTATCAAACAAGGCGGCGATCTCAGGCCACACTGATCGCTTGGTTAATATGGCCTTACTGACATATACAAACCCAGGGAGACAACAACAACGCCACCCTTCGTCCGATCACAGTCAAACAAGCCCTCGACGCCTCACAACCATACCCCGAAGCCGCCTTCCAGATTGACGGAGCGGACGCGGCTAGCGTCTGCTTCATTGGTCAAGTCCGCAACATCAGCTCACAGAGCACGAACGTCACATACAAGATCGACGATGGCACAGGGGAGATTGAAGTGAAGCAGTGGATAGACACACAGACCGCCGATACGATGGAGACGGATGACGGGAAAGCCGGCACCGGGAAGAACCAAGTCGAGCTGAACGGCTTCGCAAAGGTGTTTGGAAAGATCAAGTCCTTCGGGAATAAGCGATACGTGGGAGCGCACTGTGTACGGCCGACGACGAACCTCAACGAGGTACACTGCCACCTTCTCGAGGCCGCTGCGATCCATTTGTTCTTTACGCGTGGTCCTCCTGGTGGTGGAGCCGCTGGCGGCGCTTCTGGTGCTGGGGCCGGCGCGGACGCCGCAATGGGTGGTGCAAATGACTACGGTGTTGGCAACAGTAATCTCCCTGCTATGAGCCCTGCCGCTCGGAGAGTCTATAACCTCTTGAAGACTGAGCCTCAGAGCAACGAGGGTCTACACGCTCAGTTGATTGCCGCCAAATTGAATCTGCCGATGCCTGATGTAGCACGGGCTGGGGAGGAGTTACTTACTGCTGGTGTTATTTTCTCGACTGTTGATGAGCAGACTTGGGCGATTCTGGAGTACTAGGATGATTGTGTATTGCATATACCGCTAATGTGACATTTATGAGTATGTGGCGGGAAATAAAATGTAAAGGCCTGGTTCTTCTCAGTTTTATACTATATACCTAGAAGTCTAGATCCTTCTTGACGAGATAGCAGACTTAAACCTTTATCCTCCTATATGAAGCCTCCAGCCGAATACTCAATATATCTCAACGTCCACTTATACATGCCCATTTTGACAACGGCGAGCCAGCATATCATAAGCATCATCAATCATAGTATCAACTACGCAAAGACATTTAAGTCATCGCGTTTCTCCGAAGGGCATCAGTCACAGCCCTATTCCAATCGGCCTGAGTGAGGAAGATCATCTCGATTATCGAGACGAGACAAAGCGCAATAGCGACTCCGGACCAGAGACCAAACAGACCCCAATTCAGTCCGAAAGTTGTGCCAAAGCTGATCGGCATCGCAATGGCGTAGTATGAAAACAGCTGGACGTAACCTCCAATTTCTTGCCTTCCAATACCGCGCATGATACCATTACAGTTAGCCGCGAGGGCGTCAAAAAGCTGAAACGCTGCGCAGAGAGGTAGCACACCAGCCACGAGCTTGATTAATTCCTCATCTGAAGTGAACAGAAGGGGAATATAATGGCGCAGAGACGAGAGAACGATCATGTTCAACAGACCGACGATGACCGCACCTCCCATGGTCACCTTTGCGGAAGTCTTCGCGGCATCCACAAGCGTTGCACCGATTAGATTTGCGACGCGAGTACTGCCGGAGATAGACACTGGGAACGGAATTTGGAACGCAATGCTCGCGATTGTGGACAAGATCGACTGCGCAGCGAGGGGAGTTGTGCCAAGCCATGACGATGCCAGAGTTAAGACTTCAAAGGCAAGGCATTCGGCCTCCACCATGACCAATCCGGGAAGTGCAAGCTGGATCATCGGACCCCAGTTTCGAAAAGCACGCTTTGTCAAGCCATTCCAGCATTCTAAGCCCGCAACGAAGTACACGTAGAGGAACAGGAAGAATGGCATTAGCCAATCAGTAATGGCGACCGAGATCGGTGCACCAACGAAGCCCAAACCAACTTTCTAGTTACGAGTCAGTCAAGTTCCTCCAAACTGTGCGAGATAATGATTGGAACGGTCATACCCAGACGAGAAACCAATTCATGAATGCGTTAAAAGGGGCGCAAATCAACAGAACGAAGAGGGATGCCGAGAACAATCCCTGTGCCTGCATGTACCGTTTCCCGCTCTCAAAGCAAGCGTACCCCGGCGCGCCCAGAGCAACCACCTTCAGATATAAACCTGCCAACTTGGCGACCTCTTTCTCCGGAACAATTCTCAAGAGGATCATATCGGCGAAAAACCAAATCAATGCAATAGGAATGGTAATAGTCCAAAGGAAAAAGACCATCTTCTGCATTTGCAGACCAACAAGCTTCTTCTTTCCAGATCCGTATGCTTGCGAACAGAGAGTGTCCAAGCTGGTTGCTAAACCTTGGTAAACTACATGGCACAATTAGAATGACAAGATTAACGTAGAATGGAGGAACTGGACGAACCTGCGTAGCCGGTAATGTTTGCAGTCATACTTGCCAAGCTGACAGCACCGAGCTCCTTCTTGCCCAGATGACCTACGGTGAATATGCTCGCTACTGTCAGGGAATACTGAAGCAGAAAGGTAACAGTAAGTGGAGCAGCGTATCTGCTTATCACCAGAGCTTCTCGCTTCCATGTTGTATGTATCAGACCAGCAACTACCGCTTCCTCCCACTTTCGATCAATCGCTTCAGCATCTCTCAAGCTATAGCCAGGGCCACCATTCCCAGCTCCAAGCAGAGAGGTAGTTTCTGTCGGTACAGCAACAGCTTCCGTCCTCTCCCGCCTCTCCACTCCACTGCCAGACTCCAGTGAATCTACAGGCTCGGGAGACTTTGATCTGAGACTGCGGGACAGAAGGCCGCTGAATCTGCGCCGCCGTCCGTTCTGGTCATTTGTTCTGATACCATCCGAAATAACATGATTATCAGTCAGAAGTCGTCTTTCCTCTTCGATTGCCTGGTCGCGTTCCCTCCACGAAAGACATTCCGGCTCTCCTCGGTGCGGAACAACTGTGCTATGCGATACAGTGGTGAAAAAGCTAGGGCGTTGGTAAGAGCCAACTAAAGAATGGGGGGCTGTACCGGGCTGGCTATTGATCGCACGTACGGTCGACGCCTCGGAGTGTTCTTCGTCTTCGGTGGTAGTTATGGAGTCTTCGTTATCGGCATAATTTTCAAGATCTCGAGCAATTGCTGTTTCCGCCAGAGGGGAGCTTGACATGCAACGATGGTGATATGTTTGCTCATCTGCGTTGAGCGAGCGACTGCCTTGAGTGCGAACCATGGTGACTATTTATTAGATGTAGATAATTAAGCTGTCAATTGCCGAATCTATCCGAAGGATGCTGATATACGCAGCCGCTGTCATCCACCCGGTCCAAGTACTCAAAATGAAAGGTTCTCAGCCCTCCATTGAAATACAGGAACGAAGCACAGTGATTGGGAGCGGGACGAACAGGGCTGGGGGAGCTAAAGTAGCAGACTTCGACTCGATGACCGCCCACGGCGATAGAAGATCAGGAATAAAGTTGTGAGGACCGGAGATTGAAAGGGCCCCACTGCCTTTTTGACGCCGTCCGAATGAACCAGTCATGACTCATCTCGTATCAATTGACTTTTGAACCAACAAGATCTTGTTAGTGCCAATTTCAATACAGAGTCACGAGTAAGAAGTACCTCTCCCTCACACGTCAAGAGTCCATGCTTAGTACGGAGTACTGTTGCGTTGTTGCTCGTGCGGTGGACCCCGCAAGCGTCAATATAGACTCCACTCGGAATCATCCCATCCAAACATAACGAATGACCGAAGACAACAAAATCTCGATTATTGACTGGTTGATCAACTCCCACCAAAAGTCCGTATGGTTTGCCATACTCCGTACTTGCTGTCTACTTGGAGATCGATAGACAAACCACATTGGACAAGATGCCGGCACAGCTCAATCAAATCAATTGCAGGGCGTGAGTTGACACATGACATTAGTCTCAAAGTGGACTAGCAGATGCATATCACGTGCTCCTATCATCGGATCGATCAATAGCTGGACTCAGGTGTCAATTAATCCTCCTTGACTAGGAAGAAATCGTGGCTATCTCCTCGCCATGAATTTCATAGCTGCCCCTGGATGAACTACACCTTTTGGAGGTTCTCTTGCGAGAATTCTACTCATACTCGAGATGCCTGAACGCACGGCAGGGCAGGATCCATCCTCCCTACGGCCGCGATACAATCCGATGATTAACGTCACCAACTCGGATCCAGTGCTAGTAGAAGAGTAAGTAAAGCCCTATGTATGCGACCCCGTTATTCTACTCGGAGCAGGGCAATATCCAGGCAGGTTCGAGACCGTCGTACTCCCACTCTGTCTTCTCCGGTAGCCTTGACAGCATCCCTTGGCCAGAGTGTACCCAACTAACCCAATGCTCCAGACACCTGCAGGATAAGAAACATCTCTTCCTCAGCCGCCCTCTCTTCGGAGCTCTCTTATTCGAGAACGTCGCTTCCGACGCTCGAGATCATTGCGCAAATGAACGCACGTTCCTCTCCTGGCTCCGGCTATCCATGTACCTCGCCGTTGTGTCGATAGCGATCATCATTTCGTTCCACTTCCGCTCTCAACCAACGGGTCTTGAACGCCGCCTGGCCCTTCCGCTGGGAGTTATTTTCTGGGTTCTAAGTCTGGCTTGTCTTGTGAACGGGTTCGGGAATTATATCCGGACGGTGGTGAAATATAGTCGGAAGGCGGCCCTGGTGCAGAGTGGGTGGAGAACGCAGCTGACATTTACTGTGGTTGGAGTGGTGATTTTCGCCTGCTGTATCTTGTTTATTGTCACTGGAGCGGAGACTCGACGGTAGCTGCAGTCGGCTTGTTTAGGAGAGGTGGATGATTTGATGCTCGTCTTTCGTAGCTTTTATGGCCTGCAAGGACAATTAATGGTTTCCCATGAAACGGCAAAGTAATGGCATTGTCGAGTTCTGTAAACCCAAAAGAATATCGATTGGCTCCTTATCGAGGAATCATGTTATAAAGTGACTGGCTCATGCCATAGTATGGTATCATGCTATTCTCCAAACAGAATATAAAAAGTGCCAGATAGGGCTGGCTATAAACAAAAGAATCCTTCACCGTACTCTCGTTGTGCAGACCTCTCACATGCGGCGAATCTCCTTCTCCCCCTTGTACTTGTCCAGGCCCGCGGTGCCGAGGTGACTCCACCACTCGAACAGCATCGAATTGCAAATCAACTTGAACCAGGGAGTGAATTTGAGGCCGGGTTGGATGAACATCTGCTTCAATTCCTCGGCGCTGACATATTTCGTATCGCGGACTTCGTTGGGGTTCACGTTCAGATCGACATCTGCTTGGATAAAGAGGATATAGTCGACTGGAATCTGTGTGTCAGCAACGGCTGCAAAAGCAAATTCAGAAGCCATTGAGATGTCAGGTACATACTCTCATGCTCGCCCCATTTTCCGTCACTGGGCGCCTTGTAGTGAATCCTCGTGAAAAACTCAAACTTTTCCAGAGGTACTTGCTCCGCCTTGATTCCAAGCTCCTGGTCCAGTTTCCGCTGCGCGGCACGCTTCACACCCAGCACGGCAGCGTCGAGCTCGGCACCGGTCTCGCCGGGAATACCCAATGGGTGAGAGCAGCAGGTGTTCGTCCACATATCGGGGAAGGTGATCTTCTCGGAAGCGCGTTGTTGCAGTAGCAGGCGGTTGTTAGAGTCGAAAAGGAAAACTGAAAATGCACGGTGAAGCAGACCCCGGTCGATGTTGGTCATGAGATGGCCTAACCATCAGACTGGTCAGTATACTGTTTCTGAGAAGGTCCCAAAAGATAATCAATGAACTGAGACACTCACAGGCCTTCTTGCTGGCACTGCCGATGGGCTTATCATCGTCATCTAGAACAATGCATACTTCATCCATCAAACGGACCTGTTCCTCATCATAGCCAGCGAGCTCTTCGCTGTCTTTGGCGGAGCCCTCTGCTGTTGAGGGGAAGACCTCCCGAGCCAGCGATGTATCAACTTCGGGGAAGAGCGTGGCGACATTCTCCGCCGTAATTCTGGGGGGAGCAGTAACTGTTGCGGTGGCTGTCATCTTGGTAAGTGTACTCTGGACAGTGTCTATCAAATGAAAAAAAACTACTTGATAGTTTCCCTGAAGAGCGACAAGCCTTAGAAAGTCCGAAAAAGCGCCAGACGATTGTACGGTTTTGTAGCCCCTTGGTTGTTCCTGGAGGGAAAACCCCGCCCATAATTCCAAAGCGGTGAGGCCAATCAGTGCAGAATTCACAATACCGCCACCAAACCAGCTGTGCTTACCATTGTTGTTTTCATTGGCCCCCCCACATCTCAAAGCAAGGGTTTCCTATTGTCGCGTGCAGTAGTCAATGACTTGCCTTCTTATCACATTGCATCAACCTATGTACCCCGTATGCGTCTGGCATTGAGCAAGCACTTGATGAAATTCCTACATCCTCCCTTATGTGAAGACTTTTCTAGGACTGCGATGGTCCTGACCTATCCTCATCTGTCCTAATACACTGTTTAGTGAATAATAAGCCGAAGACAACCTGAATATACCAACCACCTGCTGCAGACTTCCATCTGACGAACCGCTTACCTTTACTCACCCGGGCAAACAGGGATCTTGTCATACCATACCTGCTATGCAATTCCATAGAATCCCCCTCTCAATGGCCGCCCTGGTCAGATGATATGGATAGAGCAAATACTCGAATGGGGCAATGTCCGGAGTCCCGATGCTCGTTACTATCCAATGAATGAAGAAGCAGGGGAGATGTGTGCATATCTCCAGCTGTCGAGTAGTCATAGCCTGTTAAACCCACATATCTTCATATATTAATCGTCCCCGAAAGCATTGCCCAAACAACAGATATATTTCCGTCAAATGATTGTGCGATCACTAGAGAGGTACACTACATGATGAAGGATTGACGTGACTCAAAGCAGGATCTTGCTGCCTGTTGGAGCAGCAGGGGTTCGATCGAGCGATCCCAATGCTCTCAGCTGCTCGTCGGTAAAATACTCCAGACTTCGTAAGCTCGTGTCAAACAGCAGGGAAGGAGATAACGGCGATCACCTGACGGTAACTTATGCAACGATCTACTAGGTATGTAGTATCGAGTACGGCATCAAAATGAGTTGGCAATTTATCACTCTGACAGCGGAGTATTGGCTAAATATGCAGTGGTCTGACTGGTCATAGGTGACAACTGGTTACTCTATGTTCCTTCTCCTTTTGCAGCTCTGCAGCAGATCATTGTCCATGTAGGAGAATACTGAGCAGTAGTGAATGCACTACCTTAGTCTACGGAGAGTATTACCTAGGTGTTCAGTGAGCCCCGACTCCGAATCTTCCGTCCTCCGAGTAAGGAAAGATCCAGTACAAAGTACCTTGGGTGGACTTTTCAATAACAACACTGCCAATGGGAGGAGTATCCGATACGAGCTTTATTGACCGAGCATAAGGTAAGTTATTACTTGCTGTATCGAATGGAACGAACTTCGGCATATTCAGCTTAGCACTGTGCCGATCCCCGTCACCTTGATATAACGATCGGCTAATTCGTTGCCTGGACGAACATTCCTATGAGTCTGGACTCTAAGCAAACCCATCGCCCCGAGTCGCCCACTCTCAACATGAGCGTGGACCTTGATTTGAGATAGATCAGTAGACTAATGGCCACTATTACGGAGCCAAGATTTGCTTCTTTCAGCAACCAGGAGATATTTGGTTTGTTGCACTTCACGCAGGTGACGGAGCAGATGGGGAACAGTTTGTTTGTTTGTTCCCACCTGGACTAAGCCCTGATCCAGATTCCAAAACCAGAGCGGAGCCAAGTCCCCTGACGGTCAGAGCCGAAAAGTCTCAAAGCGCCGGGGATTAACTTTGATTTCCGGTCGTCCAATAACTATCACATTCTGTTGGATTTGTCAGAAGTGAAATTACTTAACTAGCACAAACATCTTGACCTCTTATGTTGTAGTTATCTTGCTCTAAGACTGCCAGATGATCAAACTCCAGACGGCCTCATGAGTGGCACTGAATCAGTTCTCTGACGCGAAGGATGAACTAAGCAGATGCTGTGTCTGACTGATGCTAAGGATCAAAAATATCAATGCTTCTTGCGAATCATCACGCTCAGCATGACCTCGCAGTGGTCAACGCCTGGTCCCTATCTCTACATGTTATGCTATGCCGGTTATTGACAGCCTAAAGACTGCTTTGTCCTTCGCCAATGAGACTCATGCAATCAAAGAAACAAAATCAATCAGTATGAGGAGAAAAAATGAACGCCGGTATATCTTTCGTTTGCCTTCTGCTGCCGCTTGCGTAAGTGAAAATGCTATAGAAAACAGCCTCCCAGAAATGCTCAAAGGGTATTTGCTATTCTATCATGAATGTATGCAGTGTCGATTGTGAACCTTCGCAGTAGCCTTGCAAAAGAAGACTTTACGAGGTCGTTTATAGGCCACCGGCAATTTACGGTCAACGCAAATTGCGTGGCCTGGTCGTCGTCTCTTCAGTGATGCCGTATCGAGCTCCAAAATCACCAATTGTTTGACGGCTGCCGTTTCAAAATCATTTGCTGGTTTGGAAACGTATGTCTGACGAGCCAGAAGAGATGGGTTCGAAGGGGGAACCGGTAGGTTCCTTGCCTTTCTTGGGACTGGATCTTCGCAACTTTTGTCGGCAACCATATGCCTTATGTCTGTTGGAAAGCGCCCGCGTTAGAACTGAGATGGGTTAAGATGAGGCGCAAGGTGCGAACTTGCCTTGCCAAAGTGTCTTGCCTGCTGAAACGCCGGTCACACTGGTCACAACCGAATTTCCGCAGTCCATGATGAATCTTTTTTTCGCGTGGGTTAGCAATAGACAGCGAGCCGGCCAACTCGACTTACACTGTCCACGTGTCTCTTCAGGTCAGTCCTCCTTCCGAAAGTCTTTCCACAAGCCTCGCACGGGTAGAGTTTTCTGCAGCTGGGATCGTGTCTTTTCATGTGTTCCCGGCAATTTGAGCGTCGGGTGAAGCGGGTGCCACACATGGTACAGACGAGGCCGCTAGCAGATGTCACTTTGCATGAGTCATTATCATTTGATGTCGTCGTGGCCGCGTGAGCGGTGAACTGAGGTAATGTTGCCGTCTGATCGTGGCCCATGGAGTCTTCGAATATTGGATCAGGCTTAAGAGCGGTGTCGCCTTTCTCTTTTCCAGGGGATGCCGTGACTGCAAAGGTGTTGTTCACCATCAGCTGAGGTATTGTTGTGGACGTAGAGACTCTAGACGCATCACTCGGTTCAGAGTAGAGAAGCGGATCCGGGCAGTCGTCATATTCCTGCTTTACGTGAGACCATCCCTCGAAAGGAGTGGTGTTGTCCGAACAAGGCGTACTCGGCCACCTATGGGACGTCTGGCTGCACGTTGTACCCTGATTTCCCACATCCAAGGTCGAAGAGTAACTCGGTGATGCGCTTAGGGTTTGCGGACTATAAAGGCTGTGGGGAGAGGTGGACACATCATGATGAACAGGGAAGGATTCGTAGCATGCCCCAGTGGTAAGATTCTCAACCTCCAGACAGGGCTCGAATACGGACTGCATCAACTGATCAGGCCAGTCGGTCGTCGGTTGGGACAGTGTTTCTGGAACAGAGCAAAGTCCCATCTGACTGAACTGAGCCTCCATACCAACATAAGTGATTCCAAGGCCAGTAGGTGGCTGTGAATTGTCGGGATAGTTCGCCTGCGCGAAGGCCTCTGTCGCGTAACCGTGAGTTGTCTCTATCATCATCGAGTTGTCCTCAGATGAAGAGGGAACATAGGTTGAAGCGGACGCGAAGGATTCGGAGGTCCAATTCATGACCAGAAGTTGTGCTGTCACAATCGCAAGGAGGAATGTTGTTTGGGAGTGTGAATCACTTGGCTTGTTCTTTTTCAAACTCCGGGTAAACTGAGTTGGATCTCTTTGCAACCTCACAGTCGAGACCTCAGACGAATGGGAAAATATATTAATATCAAAGAACCAGGGCGAAAGCATGCAAATTATATAAAGCAGTGACTTGACTCAACAGCAATGCTGTTGCAGGGTAGGAATTGCGGCGAACATGTGTAGCGGCTGAGAAGACGACAGGAGGTTCAGCCATATGACGCTCACCTGTGTACATTTCCCGCCGCATCGGCGCAGTAGACACAAGGAAAGCAATGATCTTGACGCCTGAGTGGGCAAGGCAGACTTGGAAGAGAAGTGAAGAGAAGGATGCGGTGGAGGAGGGAGAGAGACTGTGAAGGGGGTCGTGGGAAAGCTAGCTGGGCAGGGCCGGGCTGGACTGATCGTTGCAGGCCATGTCTGCAACATTCAGATAGGCGCAACGATGGAAACTTGTGCACAATGACTTAGCGCCGGAAACGTGTGATCAGCCCGAGTTGTCAAATTATTAATTCTGATCCATGTCCCTGGGGATTTGAGGGGGCGACGCTTGGTGTGGTCGAAGAAAAAAAAAGGGTGGAGAAACAGGCAGCCCACTGGGGCCTGCTGTATGGTACTGTGCTCCGACAGGGTCTGAAAAGGAATAATCCATAAGGAAAACAAGTAATAATAATAAAAAACAATAGAAAGAGGGGGGCAGAGAAATGGATTGGTGATGAGAGAAGGGAAATACCTATCTTAGCAGCCCACAGGACCAGGGGGTTGCATAAGAGTGAAGGAAGACCAGTTGGAAGAATGGGATGAGTAGAATAATGATAAGTGCTTCACCGTTCTCTCTTCACATTCTGCGACTGGAATAACCGCGACCTCCTAGTTTCTAGGGGGTGAGGGAGTGCCACTGCCACCTTGTTCCCCCCGATCATCGCCGCCGGATCACTCATTTCGTCTTTTCCTGCTGCGAGACGAGCATCGAAGAGGTTTAGTTGCGACCCGACAGTCTGGTACCTTGCTTGGCAAATGAGCAGTGCGTGTCGCCTGTGTGATTGGCACAGCTGCGGTACCCAGAAACCAAGAGTTGGCAACATACTTGAGGATAGCCAGCGTGTGAAGAAACAAGGGAGTCCGCAGGATGTGATGTTGGGAGACGGAAAAGCGGTTGGTTGATGGTTGCAAAGTTGATGCAGAGGATGTTGTTGTCAATGAGAAGAGAGGAGAGGGAGACGAAGACGAAGAAGCAGGAGTACCCAGCACCTGGTCGAGCCGCTCCCCTCTCTTAACCCCAGGAACAGGAGAAAGAGGGGCATTGCCTACAAAGTACCTTTACTACTAATATTGTCTCTTCACAACCAGGCTGCCAAGTAAATCTTTCAATTTACCAACAGTGACTCTATACCTTATCTATACTAGAAGATAGCCGTTGGTTTGAGGATGATGGCGCTCGGACTACCGCAGGACGAATGACTCAGTCTTTGATTAATTTTCCAGGAGCCAATACTCTTCATATCATGTGGTGAGGAAGATATACTTGCAATGCCAAGGGAGATCATGAAAATCTTCAAATCACGGGAATGACTCAGGCATACCTTTTAAGGTTAAGAAAGGAATTTCCACAATGGCGCGATAGGAATAGACTTAAGGGGCAGAAGGTAATGACCGACAGGGTATTCCATAATTTCATGCATATTTACTTGTTTTCTAGCCACAGACACTATCTGCATATTGGTACCAAGGCATCTAAGCAATAATAGTAACGACATCCGAAGGTCACATCTTGAACCATTGTTAGTAGTCAGACTTGTCGGTGGCCGGTGCTCGCGCTAGTCTTTTAGACTATGGGGCCAGCCATGAGCCAGTGCGTGTGTCTACCATTTTAGGTCGTGATCTGTTCAAATGGAAGTCTGAAACTAGTCGACGGAGTAACTAGCCTCAGAATATCTAGCATGCTTTTATTTTCTGCTCTAATTACTGTTCCACGGCCTCACAGTCGATTTCTTTGGTGGAAAGCTACTGTAGCTGCCACGCGCTCCACTTGGGTGCGCAACTGCTCCAGCTCGTCGATCATATCTGCCAAGCCATTACGCCCGGCCTGATTTGGAGTCAGTCCACACACTCTGCGGGCTTCCGCATGCTGAGCCGCGTTGGTCGATCCCTTGGATTTCCCACAACCCAGCTGCGACGAATCGACTGTGGAGGCATAAAGCGGAGCGTGGTGCGTGGAGAAAGGGAAGTTAGCCTGGATGGAAGAGGTAGAAGTCGTTTGAGTAGGGGGAAATTGATTGTTTCGTTGCGAAACATAGCGGCGGCTAGACTCAAAAGCCCAGATCAAGGCCACGAAAGGAAGGTGGGTTGCCCGGAGCAGAACGATGCGAACTCGACGGATATGCCCTGCGGACAGAAACAGCCTTAGGGGCCGAATGCAGAGAAGTGGGATGAGGTTCTGTGCCAAGTCTAATATAAGTAACCAAGCCAAAGTCGGTAGGCTAACGGCTAAGTGGTGTTCATTGGGTATAGGTTAGCCACGATAGGACTTACCAAAGGTGGCATAAAATAAGTTAGTCTTCTAGAGTTGCTGCTTTCTAGGACGTAAATGGATAACCTATTGGCAACACATTAATGACTGTTGGAGATCGAATCAGTAGGCGCGACATGGGTGCTACGAACTGGAAAAGATACTCTTCCCGTGCATGAGCCATGACCTATAATGCAGGTTGATTTAGCAATCTGCAGATGAGATTTCAAAGTGAGTCAAAATAAACGCACCCCTTCTAGACTCATGCTCATCAAGCTAACCAGAGAGGAGATCAATAACAGATTTGTCATTGACACGAACAAGAGCCTGTCGAGTGTGGACGTTAGTCATCTCTTCGTTTGAGCTCTTCGCTATCCTTCCTTCTCGCTCCACTTTCAATGTTCCTTCAGAAAGCTTCGTGTATATCCAATTGTCAGGCGGCTCGTTTGAGGGGTGACTGGTGCCGGGCGTCTAACTGCGCCAACCCCACACACACCACACGCCCAGCAACAACCCGGAAAAGAAAAACAAGATGATAATTAGAAAATGAAGACAAAAAGCAAATAAACAATTAAAATAAAAGGAAGAAATAGAAAGGAAAGACGAGATTCATAGCCACTTCAAGAGTGAACGTGATTAAAATTGTATGCGGTTGACTGTTCAAATGGTTCGTGTGGCGCAGTAGGAGAGGCACATCAAACTCACATCAAACCGTAGCCAAAGATCGGAGAAATCTAAGAAATTAGCGCGTTAGCTATCTTAACACGAGAGCCTATCGATTCTGCCAAACCCGTCGGCTCCTGTCACATCGTGGATGACAGCCACTTAGAGCGACGGACTTACATCATATGCGATGTCCTAATAGCCAATCGATCAAGCCACCGTCAGTCAAGAATGTTCTTCAACAACGAGGAAGAAGCGTACAAATCCTAAGACACTCGATCTGCCTCGCATCGTCAGTCAAAAGAGCGGTCGGAAATAGGGATTCTTCACCGACATACCCAAAGAATACTTTCACAAGAATCCATGACATTTGCCGCAGAGACAGTCGGTCACGGGCAAGCATAGTGAATGTCGTCAGGAACCCTGGTAGCAAGTTCAGCTCGCATGAGGCATGAATCGACATGACCTGAGCCCTTCAGCTACTCACCAATGTACAAAACGACGACCACAGGAAGGAACCTGAAAAAGGCTTTGGTCTAGAACATACCAATCAGCCTTACACCAGTCGGCGTACCCCGAGATATTGAGAGCGGTACCATCTCTTTCAAAACAGGTATCTATGCGCAGCAGCTTGTCAGTATGTATTCCGGAAGGTGGTTCCCCAGCATGAAGAAGATAGTCCGCCGTACCAAGCTGCCAAAATACGGGTTCAAGCTCACTAGTGAGCAAATCCTGTGAATTGCTCATGTTAGTCGACGTTGCGAGCCGAGGCGCCAATCAATCGTCGGCGGTGGCTGAAGCCTTGCCTTGGAACCAAAAACAAAGCCTCCAATGACAGTATGTCGAATGATAAATCCGTAATATAATCGCTCTCCTTGGCCAGTCCAACGATACCTGCGAATCCAGATCAGTAAGGAGACCTAAAAGCAGCGATGCAGTACTTGTCGCCTTCGCCGGAGCTGACCCAGGTATTGCTACAGGGGCGAATGACTCACGCGCGATAACAAAGGCAAGGCCAATGGCAATGATGCCCATGTTCCAGAGGCTCCAAAAATCCATCTGGTAGAAGAGCATCCCCGCATCGACCATGCCACTCAGTTCATCATAAGCAAAGGCAGCTATCCAGACATACATCAACGTCTCGAATATGCCTATGCCGGTAGGGTTTCTCTCAACAAGGACTGCGTAGTATAGGAACAAGAAAGAAACAAAAAAAGCGGCTTCAAACGCTTTTCGATACATTGGAACCCTTAATCTTGAGTATGGATCGGCAGTCCTGTAGCGCGGAACCCGACAATATTAGTAAACCGTAAATGCTTGGAAAATTCTATCTTACCGTTTGTTGAAAAACTGAGGCTTCTTCTTGGAATGTACACTCAATGAGTCCCAAAAAACAATCTCCCCATTCCAGATATCGTCTATCACCCTTTGAACAGCCTTCTGGCTGAGAAACTTTTTAGCATGGGCGATTGTTGCGATTTCCAGAGCGTTGAGACCAAAAAAAGGTGAGAAGGAATGAAGTTCGGGATCATCATAATACCAGCCCCGAGATCCCCGATTGTCCCCAGTGCAAGGGTCACCTTGGTGGCTTTTGCCGACAAAGAATCGGTAGAGGGACGAGGAAGAGCTCAACAGTAGCGGAGTCCTTTCGCCTTCTGTTTCGTTGCCTTCATCTTCATGGGAGATTGATCCAAGTCCAGATGCACCTTGCTCGGCCTGTGAGATTGTTGCGGAATCTCGTCTGGGAGAGGGAAGCTCCTCAAGCAGTACATCTATCATCTCCCGTCGTGTGAGGTGACAAAGAAACTGCCAGGCAATGTATTCACACGCATAACCCCGACTTTCGTTCAACCCCCAGTCGGAGTCGTTGTCTTCATTGTTTAACTGCCATTTCAAGATCCTAATACAAGTGATCTTCAGGAGTCGTTCTTTTGCAAGATAAATCACGTTCTCAACTTACATCAAAGCGGAGATAATCCAAGGATTGTGTGAATTCTCAGCCAGAGAGCCTATGAGAAGCCGGAGCTTGTGTCCATAGGCAGAAGATCTCAGCTGCTGAAATGTACACGCAACATCAGGTACAGCTACATTGAGGTAACTGGTGATATGCGAAGTTAGACCCGCCGATATAAGTTGGGCAAATGCATGCTGAACTTACTTCCGTAATTTTCGAATCATCTCGGCAAGACTCTCATTATCATCGATAATAGGAATCTCTGGATATTCATCACTAGTCGGTAAGACAGGTGTTGCCGGCGCATCCATCCTGATGGACGCTGTTGGAAGTAATCGTTCAGTCTTTGCGCAAATGCTCTTTCGAGTCTTGCGGCTACCAGCTACTTTGCCCTCCCCGAAACAATCGCGACGCGACGAAGTGTCCTACAATAACCACGAATGACGTTATATCACCGACGATCAGTATGTCAGCCGTTCGATTGTGTCGGTGAGAGGGCCTTCTTATAGCCTACACCAGGTGAAGTATGACGCGGGGCTCATGTACCATGACCCATAATTCAGGAGCCGGATTGCGAAAATTCAAAGTCGTTCATATTATGTCGAGAGTGTGGAAAGCTCAGGGAGAAGGACGGCCGAGCTGTCTCTCTGACGAAACTGTTTGATTGGACGCCAAAGACTAGTTGGTGCAAATCTACTCCGTACTTTAGTTAACTTGCGGTGCTAGCTTGATTTAGACCACTTCAGGATTTTAAACAGTGAAACATTGGAAGGGCTCTTCAACTCCAAGATGCGAAGGAAGATGTAATTGTTGGTAAACTCCTGGAACATTATTCGGCAGCGCAAGAACGAATCTCCAAGATCTAAGGTAGATTTTCTTGAAAATGATGATCTATCCAAAGAAAACAAGCAATTAATGGGGAAGACTTGGCCCAGGCGTTGTGAGGCATAGCTACACCGCCTGAAAGTCATGTGACCCCATCATCGCCGTCACCCGACACTTATGTCAGGACATGATGATCAGTGGGCATCTATTCAGAGAGTTTGCGTATAGATCGCTTCAATATCAATATCAACTCTATCAACGTTGTAGGCTTGTGTCTCGGAGATTTGTTGAAACTACATCTACCCTTAGTGGATGAAATTCGTGATTCTTGTTAGCTCTTGAGATGAGGTCGTCGCGACACTATGGGGCAAGGCTACTCCCTCACAACCCTTTCAACGGGTTCGGCTGGAATAGATGTCCCCGAGCTATCAGATCTGATGTATGAGAAGTCTATGGGTGGTGGCCGGTTCATGAAAAGTATCCGGGCAAGACAGCAAAATGGCCTCGTTCTTGTAAAGGTGATCATGAAGCCTTACCCCAGCATGAAGCTAGAATCCTATGTCAAAGCCATCATTCGTGAGTTTATTTTTGCCGTGCAGCAGCTCTGGATATACTCTGACAACGTACTAGGGGAGCGCAAACTGCTTTCTGATGTCCCAAATGCTTTGAGCCATCAAAGAATTTTGGAGACCGGCACCGGGGGTTATCTGGTTCGCCAATATATTCACAGCTCTCTATATGACAGGATGAGGTATGCTTCGTACATATTATCAGCCAGAAATTTTCTGACCTCGGCAGCACTCGACCATTTCCAGAAGAAATCGAGAAGAAATGGATTGCATTTCAACTTTTATGTGCTCTTCGGGATTGTCACTCATTGGATGTTTTCCATGGCGACATAAAGACAGAGAACATCTTGGTGACATCATGGAATTGGCTGTACCTCACGGACTTCTCCTCGTCTTTCAAGCCAACATTCTTGCCGGAGGACAATCCTGCGGACTTTTCTTTCTATTTTGACACCTCAGGGCGACGAACGTGCTATCTGGCCCCTGAGCGGTTCCTCGAGGTCGGTGAGGAGCCAGGGAATAGGCGTCTGAATTGGGCCATGGATATATTCAGTGCTGGCTGCGTGATTGCAGAGCTGTTCCTAGAAGCACCCATCTTCACCCTAAGCCAGATGTACAAATACCGCAAAGGCGAATACAGTCCGCAACACAGCCAGCTGGTCAAAATTGAGGACCCGGAGATTCGAGAGATGATCCTTCACATGATCCAGCTTGAGCCAGAGTCGAGATATTCTGCTGAAGAGTACCTGAACTTCTGGAAAAACAAAGCTTTCCCGGAGTATTTCTACAGCTTTCTTCATCAGTATATGTCTTTGATGACAGACCCTTCGTCGGGCAGGGCGCAAGTGGAAGCGGAATCGGCAAACAGGGGCGAGTCAGATGACAGGATTGAGAGGGTTTACTACGATTTTGATAAAATCTCTTACTTCCTGAGTGCATCTTCGAAGCCTGTGAAAGAGAGCTCCAGTCGCAGTAACCCCAGGCTTACTGGGAACGCGTTCCCCATCCACCTTGATCTCCCGAA